CCAAGTTGCGGTCGTGCAGGTATTGCACGGCCCTCACAACCTGCACGAAGATGTCCCGGGCCCTGGGGACGCAGGGCAGCTTCCCCAGCTGTTGCAGCAGCTGCAGCAGGTCGGTGGCTGCCGCCTCCATCACTATGTAGAGCTTCCTGTTACAGACCTCGATGATGTCGAAGACGCGGATGATGTTGGGGTGCCGGATCCTGCGCGCGATGGAGACCTCCCGGGGCAGAAACTTGTACACGAGGGTCCGGGTTGCTCGTTGCCGGTCCACCACCTTGATGGCTAAGGGGCCCTTGAATTTGTTGGAGGTGGCTGCCTTCACCTTGGAGAAGCTTCCCTCTCCTAAAGTGGGACCCAGCCTGTAGCCCAGCTCACGAAGTAACTTCTCTCCTGCATCGACTTTTGGCATGATGCGTGATCCCGACGGCCTTAACCGAAGCTGGTGTTTTGCTCTGGGATCTGAAAGCTTTAACACATGGTGCGTGGCGGCTGCTGGCCCTCACTCTGCCCCATTGTGGCACGGGTGGGCTCCGGGGCTCGCCCGGCTACTGTGATGGCGTGGCGCATTCTGTGGCAGCGCCTTTGTGAGACGACGAGGGGGTCGGGCGGGTCCCCTCCGCTCACGGGCCTCTGGAGATTTCAGAGTTTTTACCTTCTCGGCCTCTTCACCTGCGTTTTCCAAATAGGGCTTTTTGGATGAGGAGAGTTTCAATGTCCCCTTTCTGGGAGGAGGAATCCATTTGGGGACCTAAGCCAGTTTTCTGCAGGGTATTCGCTGTATTAAAATCAGAAGGGCACAGAGCGGTACAGAGGAGTGATTTCTACTGTCCCTAACCGCAAAACACCTTGGCTGGCTGTAAATATTTACTTTTTTATTATGATGGTTCAGCGGGCTATTTTTCTAGGTCGACTTTCTGACTTTGGGCGGTACGGACGGGGAACTTTAAATGCATCTTTCAGAAGAAACAGCTTTTCGGTTTCTTGGACTTGGAATTGCTCTCCCTCTATTTTTATCAAAATCGTATTTTGGAGACTTACA